TGTCCACTGCCCGCGTGTTCCGCGGCTTTGCTCCCCGTCCCCCTGGTCTGCAGACCAGGGAGACGGGGAGCAAAGCAGAGCAAAGCCAAGGAGCACGTGGGCAGCGGACAGCCCAGACACGTCTGAGCTGTCCCACTGCCCGCGTGCTCCGCCGCTTTGCTTCCTCTCCCTGGTCTGCTGGAGACCAGGGAGACGGGCCCCGTTCGTAACTGCGGATCCGACATAAGTCGGATCCCCGTAACTCAGGGACTGCCTGTACTTCAGTGTGGAATGAATGTATACTGGGCAATTTATAGTCAGGCTGCCGTGTATAGCGTAGATTAACCTGTCACCGTTGCACCTCCTTATTTCAGCAACACAAATTCCTGTTCATCTCTAAGGGAAGGTGGTGTTAATTTTTATGCCTTTGAACTTTAATGATAATGGTTGCTCCTCTGTGACCTTTCTCTGTGGAAGATATCAAGGTGACCTGATAGTGTAAATCAGCATGGTACTGTATAATACAAGCAGGAACCTGATACATATACTGAAGTTTGGCCAGGATGGGAATAAAAAAGACAGACAGGAGATTAAAGTGTTCCCTAATATAAAAGTGTCTGATTAAAAAAATCTCTATTACCCGAATACAAAGTCTGAATTTTAAGATCACACAAGTTAACTTCCCCACAGACAACTAATATGACAACTAGGCCCAGGAAATCTAGAATCAAGTTTAATGTGTAAACTATAACTCTGCCCCTCAACTCCTGCACACGAGAAAGTGTTTGAATAAGAAGAATTGGGCAAAGCCAATATCTTTGCTTATTATTATTTTACATGAGAAACTATACTGGGCAATGTGACATTTATAGTGACATTTTACATGATTTTTATACATATAAATTAAAAAAAATCTCTGTTATTAAGCAGTCTTTATTATACAGTACACAATTTAACATTAGTTGTAATTCTGATAACAATTTAACTGAAATGTAATGCTTTTTGTACTAAAAAGGTCTGATTTTCAGGAGAACTGAGCACTCAGAACCACATCTATTGTTAAAAGCATCAGCAGAAATTAAGCAATTCTGAAGATCAAGCCTGATATTCATATAATATTTAACCAATAGAAAAATTATAGCTCAGATTTCAAGGACCTAAATGAAAAATGTGAATTTCTAATTAACCTAAAACTAAATCCAGTGCTATAAATTTCCTCATAAAACATAAGATCAATCCACACATAGTTCTCTTCATACACAAGGCAACAACATATGAATGTAAGTAACTTAAAACTTACCAAATTATACAAATTGCGCCTAATCTGCTGTATAACTCCTGGAAATGTCTGCTTAAGCAGTTCCTTAAAACTTGTGGGCCATTTGTTATAGATGTTATCTTCTTCTATGTTATTAACCCACTAAAAAGGAAAACAAAGCAAGTATGTAGTTCAAAAAGGCCACAAAGGTTTACCTGGCTCAAATATCTATAGCCAAAGACATGTTAACAAATACACAATTTTCTTGCAAAATCCGGTGGAGCAAGTAAAAAGGACCAATTTCTTTCTAAGGATATGTCTATACTTCATTCCTCTCGAGAGAGAGGAATGCAAATGCCAACACCTGAAATTGCAAATGAAGCGGGGATTTAAATATCCCGTGCTTCATTTGCATAATTGCATTATGGTGCTATTGCAAAATAGCACTATTTTGAGAGAGAAAACGGGGTTATTTCGAGATAAAACTCTTCCCTCGAAGTAACCCTTAAGCCTCATTTTTGAGGTCTCCTGGGGTTCCCGGTGGGCACCAGTTGGCCGCTGATGGACACCCTTTGGCCGTGGCCATCCCCTGCTGCCGCAAGATGTTCTCTGGGCTCCTGGCAGGGGTCACCTGCCGCCGGCCCTCCAGAGTCAGGGTTTCCCCAGCTGGGGCTATCTGCCTACCCAGCCACTGCTGGGGATTCTTGCCGCCCACTTCTGCCAGCCCCTCTTCAGCCAGGGGATTCCTCTGCCACTGGGGGGTTGTTGGGGTTCCTGGCCAGGGCTGCCCAGTTACCAGAAGCCCAGCTGTAGCCAAGGGTTCCCTGGCTGGGACTGGGACTCCCTAATCACATGGCTCAGGTGATGCTGGGGGGGTTCCTTCGCCAGGGTGGGAGCTCTTGGGCTCCCAAGCTGGGGATGGGTTTTCCCAACAATCTTTCTCCACTAACTCTGGTGATTCCCCATATGCCACCTGGGCTAGCCAGGACTCCTCAACCCCTTCATTGCTCCCACCTCTGGGGCTCTTTAGTCCAGCAACATCCGTGGCCCTGCCATGGATTTGGGAGGTTCAACCTGTATTGCAGACCTGGCCTAATATAAGTTTATTTGAATAAACTGAAGTTGTCACCAAAGTACAATTTTTCTATTTATTATTATTGAGATCCATGTTTAAACTTATGCTTAAAACGTTTTGATCTCTGCTAAAAAAATATTTGTGTTTAACTGCTCTGTTGGATCAAGGCAATATTGAGTATGCTACTGAAATATATAAAGATAGGCTAGTGCAGGGGTGGGCAACAAAAACCCTCAGCTGGCAGGATTAGGCCCTGGCGAGCCATAGCCACTATGTTTACCAGCATCTCAGCAAGTATCAGAGGGTCGCAGCTCTAGTTAGCTGCGAATCACCATTCATGGCCAATGCGAGTAGCAAGAAGCACCATGGACTGGGACACTGCTTCCTGCTGCTCGTGTTGGCCGCAAACAGCCATTCACAGCCAACCAGAGCTGCGATCCTCCGATACCTGCAGAGGCGCAAGTAAATATGGAGGTGTGGGAGCGCCAGGGACTAACTCTGCAGTCTGGATCCAGCCCCAGGGCTGGAATTTGTCCACCCCTGGGCTAGTGGGACTTGTTTAAAAATCAGAATTTTATTACCTGTGGTAAAGTATGATGGCATATAATGATTAATGATACAGCTAGCATATCAAATTTCCTGAAAGTGCCAAGAAATAATAATACTTTTAAGTTTTCTTCTTTAAATAAGACTCACAGGTTTTTGAAATAAGATATGTTATGAAATACTGACTTAACAGGAACAAGGAAATGGGAAAAAGAGATATTTAATTACGATTATCTTTATACAAACTGAGGAAAGATGTGATTATAATTCTGAGCTACAGAGTGAGTAAAACAAATTTCAATTCTCTCATAAAAGAAAAGGTAAAACACGTACATGTTGGACTTCCCTGGTCGGGCAACATCAGAACCTGACCGGTCCCAAAACAAGAGACTTTTATGAACCAGGAGAAGTATCCCCTGCCACCTGCCTGAAGCCAGATGGCTCTCTGCCTCTGACCTCCTCTATTCTGTGCTCCCTTCAGCCAGGCTGTCCATCCTGCTGCCACTGGTCTTCTGGCAACGGTTTGTCATGTGTGTCTGATGTTCTTCAGCCCCTGGCCCTGCACTGCTGTGGTTCCCTGTTCCCGCGCTTATGGGGCATCCATGTTTCCGCAGCCCCATGCTGCCGCAGGCAGCTAGAATTCTCCAGCCCTTGGTTCCAAGCTGCTGCGTTTCCCTGGCTCCGTGCTACCATGGGCATCCAGATTTCTGCAGCTCCACGCTGCCATGGGCTGTCAGAATTCATCTATGTGGTGTTGCAGGTAGCCAAGGTTCTTCCTCTGGCCTCATGATGCTGCGGGCTGCTGGGATTCTCCAGCCTGGCCCCAGCACTTTTATGGGGCTCTGGTCCCACTGCTGGCCCTCCTATCATTAGGCTCCTGGGCTTTCTGGTCCTGGAGCAGTCATGGTCCTACTGGACCATGGATGTTGCCGTACTGGAGAGTACTGGTTTTCAGAGATTCAACATGTAAAATAAATATTCTATCACCCATGCGAATATATAAATCAGGGTTTGGCAATCAGGGCCGTCCTTAGGCCGATTTGACCAATTCAGTCGAATCAGGCCCCGCACCTAAGGGGGCCCCGCGCCCCTGAACCCAGGAGTGCCGGCGAGTTACAGAGCCGGGGGCCCTGCTCCACCAATATGTGGAGCTGGGTCTCTTCCCCAGCTCTGCCTGGAGCAGGGCCCAGACCCCCCCTGCCTGCTTCCACCCCGCCCCCAGAGCGTCCCCCTCGGCCCCGGACTGTCCCTGCCGTGCGCGGCTCCTCCTCACCGTCT